CACGTAAGTAATATTTGGGGTAAAATGAATCATAACGTTTATATTTATCACAATATGCGCGCAAATATGAAATATTATCGCCGATCTGTGAGACCGCTCTTCTTCTGCGAGTGTGTGTGAGACGTCTCGAGCGTCAGGCGCCTCCTAGCGGAGCGGAGGACAACACCACCAGCGCCAGACACACTTATCTTCATATTATAGTTTTAAAACTATTGTAATTCCCCTGTATGACTTGACTTGCATGGAAGCTTATTTAATAATAATAATAATAATTTAGAATAAAAATATGAAAAGGCAACTGCGACTTTTTTTTCACCTAACAATTCGTATTTTTCGCAATTGCAAGTTCATATTTTAGTTTATAAATGAATAATTGCGAGACAAAAATGTGAGAATAAAAAAAAAATTACTCCGGTGGTGTAAACCATAGACATAATAAATAATAACTATGATGTAAACAAGCGTCCACAGCGTTGTGAAAAAGCAAAAGTGAATCGATTAATAAAACACTTTATGATTCGTGTGGTTATATATTACGTTAATGTTATTTACATTATAATTATTAAATATCATAATAAATTATATATAGTTATAATAATCGTTGTGATTTCCGTTTACAAACATTCAAACCACACCAACGGTTCCAGTCCGCCAATCAGCTCAGCGGATTCCTCTGTGCGCGGTCGCTGATTGGACGTCCCCGACCGCGAGCTGAGCCAATCAGCAGCCGAGTCCAGGCTGCCGTCCGCCGAGCGCGTCACGCACGCACAGCACGAGCAGTCACGTGGGAGCCACAGCACTGAGGAGAAGCGCTAGCTGGTCTGCAGAGAATAAAGAACAGGTTTGTCAGATTCATTCGACTAAACGGACTATATTTTAAATCAGTTTAAACACGCGTTGGCGGATTTAAACGCGCGCGGTGTTGTAGTCGCGGACGCACGATGTTAGCGCGCGAGCGCGGTTTAATACGGGTTTTGCTGGTTTCCGTGAGGCCGCACCGGAGCGCAGTTACCGCGTTTTAACGGGGACTCGGTGCGGTACCGGCGCCCTGCGATCCGTTTCACGCGAGTATCGCGTTAATGTGCAGTTTGTGGCTGATATACCGCGCGAGGACGGAGAGAGGAGAGATGGGGGAGGGGCGGGAGGGAATTAGGCGGGAAGGAAAATGAAAATGGAGGAATCTTTGTTTAACAAAAGCCTCCGAGCGACTCTCACAAAGTGCTTCAAACCCCGAGAACTCGCCTTTAACCCCGTGTTTCTGCCTCGGCTGCTGTGTGTGTGTCCTGCAGCTCAGTAGCGGGGTATTTGCGTGTTCTTGTATCGCAG